GGGTTTTTACTTAACCTCATCAAACGTATATCTTAATTTTCTTACTCCCCTACTGAAAATGCCGGTTTTCAGCAGTATCAACATAATGACTCATTTGCTTTTTCCCACAATACAAACACAATGGTCTCTGAATAACACTACCAACTACCTCCATCAATATGATTATTAAAAAATTATTAAAGATATTTCAGAGTTATTTTTGACTTTCAAGTTATCCATCATTTTGCAGTCATTTGAAATAGTTCTTCTTTGTGTGGCTTCATGGTTAGGTTCATCTTATTCATCGTGTATTTGAGTGCTTACTGTATGCAGTGGTTTAAATATTCCACTGCTTTGAAAAGGATGAGGAGAGAAAGGAAGAGAGGATAGAGAAAGAGCGGGTTATGTGTAGTAGAAACTTTTTCTATAGGAATTGTGTGGGATATACTTTTGTTAAGTCAACAAAATCATCACAGGGCCGGCCCAGTGGCACAGTGGTTAAGTTCGCGTGCTCTGCTTTGGCAGCCCAGGGTTCGCAGGTTCGGATCCTGGATGCAGAGCAACACACCACTCATCAAGCCGTGCTGTAGCCACGTCCCATATAAAGTAGAGGAAGATGGGCACAGATGTTAACCCAGGGCCAATCTTCCTCAGCAGAAAGAGGAGGATTGGCAACAGATGTTAGCTCAGGGCTGATCTTCCTCACACACACACAAAAAGGGGCCGGCCTGGTGGCATAATGGTTAAGTTTGCGCATTCTGCTTCCTCGGCCAGGGGTTTGCAGGTTTGGATCCTGGGCGCAGACCTATTCACTGCTCATTAAGCCATGCTGAGGCGGTGTCCCACATAGAAGAACTAGAAGGACCTACAACTAAGATACACAACTATGTACTGGGGCTTTGGGGAGAAAAAAGAAAAAGAGGAAGATTGGCAACAGATGTTCACTCAGGGCCAATCTCCCCCACACACACACCAAAATAAATAAATAAATAACTTAAAAAAAGTCACACTGGGGCTGGACACCCCTGAGATTTCATTATGCCACTTCAGTTCCAGGAAACTCCCCACTGGCCTGTATCCCATGTACTTAGATAAAGAACTCGTCTTAGAACATCTAACCAGTAGAGGGGCTGTGTCGTGGCCATAAGTACATGTCTCCCTGGGCCCCAGTTCCCGAACCCAGGAGATTCACAGGGCCAGGAAGTGACAGAGGATAGACAGTGGCAGGTCGGCATGGGCCGTGAGCAGGAGCGGCAGGCCACAGGCTGTAGAATGTGCACTTTTTAGTTCAAGTATGTTTTCACTCTGTATGAACCCAGAGGACATCAGCCATGGTGCGGCATCCTAGAGGACCTTTGTGGCAGGGACAGCATGGCAGTGAGTCTTAAGACGTTGGTGTTGCCCATGGGCACCTCGTAGGAAGCCCTGCCCATGTCCCCTCTGCCGACAGGGGCTTCGTCTTAGTGCCAAGGAGACGACAGGCATGGATGGGACTGTGTTTCTGTCTTACGTGAGCACCGGAGCTGTACCTTGACTTTTTGAAGGTCATTTAAGATAGAAGCATCTCTGTGATCATTTTCAATATGAATAAAATGAACAGGGAGATAAAGTATTATGTATTTAGAAAGGTACCTTTCCAAATACTTTTTGGCTTTTTGAAAACTGCTTTTTGGTGAACTGGCAGTTGTCTAGTTTATGGTCACCAGCTGTGGACACATAGTCTGGTGCTGTCTTTCTCAGTCTTTCCTAACCCGTGCTTCAAGGGGACTGAAAAGTCTGGCATCCTTCTCAGAAATTCTGCCTTCAGTGGGAGGAGTGGGGCTCTCGCCAGGTTACAAATGGACGGCTCTGAATGAGATGGGGTTGTTGGCACAGTAGGCGGATATGTGCATGTTCTAAGGGTTCTCTTCTGCCTGTGATAGTGAAGGCAAGCTGAAAGGCCTCTGGCTGGTCTGTTTGGGCTGGAAGGTTGGTGGTGAATACAAACAGCTGCCCACCGCTTCTCCACTCTCCTCAAGCCTGGGCCAGCGGACCGGTGGTAGCGAGCGTTGCTGCGAGCGTGACGGTATCTTGGAATCTGAGTGCACGCCTGCACACGTGTGCCTGTCACTCCATGAGTCTTTTGCCATCGTTCACTAGTTGAGTTCACACAGCTGCCTGTCTAGAAAGATGACATTCTAATTATAATTGCTCATGAATCAATGAAGAATTAGTGGAATTTTTTCCTATGTCAGCAGATGCAAGTATGCAGACTTCTCTCTGTTCCCTTTACCCTGCTTGTGAAGAAGAGCGACCGTGCATGTGGGGCTTCCAGAGCACTTTGGTCTGGCCCTCTGACTCCCTCTGATGCCGTGTCGCTCTCCTGTGTAGCCTGGCAACGTCCTTTTAGGATGAGCTGCCTTTCCCATCCTCCTGCAGGCGATCGGGTGCAGGGGGCTGCCCCCTTACCACTTGCTGTCTCTTCTCATTACCTAGTCCCTCACCTCACCTTCTTATCATGTCTGTAATCACCAGCTAGGTAGCTATTCCTTAAGTATTTGTGATATTTTATTTAACTTCTAAATTATGGTAACAGGAAAATACGAGGCTCCTCCTTTCTTCTTCCAGGACTTGATTCTTAGAGATCTCGCCTCTCCGCGTTTCTCCAGGAAGAGGCATTGGCTACACAGAGTGGTGTGATGCTGAATCTGGTCATATGGAGTATGCTGTTAGGTTTTTTTTTTTAATTAGTATTTCAGAAATAATATATGTTCGTTGTACAAAATTTAGAAAAAGCAGAGAAACAAAAACAAGAAAATAAGGGGTGTTTTATAGCCGTATTATTTCTATACATGTCTTCTTGGTTTGGTTTTGCTTCCACAATACACCGTATAGACACCATTGTACACCTGGGGCTATTTTTCCGCTTGACGTTGTATTATATGTTAATACATTACCATAGTGTATGTGTTACCATATATTCTTGTTGCGAGTTTGTTTTCAATGGCAATATAATGGTCCACTGTTTGGTTCTATCATAATTTATGTAATCAGTACCTAGTATTGAATATTTAATTATGGAATATTGAATAGTCTAATTTTATCTATTACATAGAATGCTGTGATGACTATCCTTTGTGGCTTAATATTTGCACACATCCATGACATTTTCCTTGGGCTAAATTATTGTAAAAAGAAATATTTAAGGCTTGTGATATATACTAACAAGTCGTCTTCTAGAAAGGCTGTCCACAGCATTACTCCCATCCACCGTGTCTGGAAGTTTCTATTTTATTACCATCAAAGGTGGAGAATCTCCAAAGATCATTGTGACCATTGGTGTTTACATTTGTGAATTTCTTCTTTGATATTTCTTTTGGTATGTTCATCTTTTTTCTAGTTTTTGTGTTTTTGAAAGAATCCTTGCTCTAGGAAGGATATTAACTCTTTGCTGTGTCACATATGTTGCGATTTCTGCCTGTGGTGTTTTGAGTTTGGAGAGGCTTTGCAGTCTGATTTAGGGACATGTTGCTGTATTGCCCAGTTTCAACCTTTGCTGCCTCCTCTGTAACTTTAGCAATAGACATTCATGCTCAACGCCTGAACCACTCATGCAGCACAAGTAGGTCCTACCCAGATGTCCATCAACAGGAGAATGGATAAAGAAATTGTGGGTTTCTCCATACACTGGAATACAACTCAGCCATAACAAGGAACAGCTCACGCACACAAAAACTCGGATGTTTTTCCTGCGTAAAGGAAAGTGACAGAACTGAGGCAGAGAGGAGATGAATGGTTGCCTGGGCCTGGGAGGGCCGGGGGACATGAGGAGGGACCACTAATGGGTACAGGGTTTCTTTTGGAGGTGATGAAAAGTTCTAGAATTGGTTGTGTTGAGGGTTGCACAACTCTGTGAACACACTAAAAACCATTGAATTATACGTTTTAAGTGGCTGGATTTATGGCATGTGAATTATATATCCATAAAGCTATTCAGAAAAAGATGGACGCAAAAGAAAATACATACTGTATGGTTCCATTTATATCAAGTTCTAGGCAAAAATGATCTAAGAAATAGAAGTAAAAAAGTGGTTGGGGTGGGGCAGATTGATTACAAGGAGTGGTGGGAATGTTCTGTTTTGGTTTTTTTGGTTTTTTTTTTTTTTTTGGTGAGGAAGATTCACCCTGAGTTAACATCTGTGCCAGTCTTCCTCTACTTTGTACGTGGGTCACGACCACAGCATTGCTGATGAGTGGTGTAGGTCTGCACCCTGGATCTGAACCTGCAAACCTGGGCTGCTGAAGCAGAGCATGCAAACTCAACCACCAGGCCATGGGGCCAGCCTCAGATGTGTGGAATTTTTTGAATGGTGCTTATATGGGTATATGTGATCATCAAATTGAGGGAAAATGCATTCTAATTGAAAAGAAAGAAGTAGGCCCTGATCTCTTCTTCTTCTTTTCTTTTTTTTTTTTTCTATTTTAAAACATATTTTCTAAAGTCATTTCTCAACTGGGCAGTATGCCCTTAACTTTCCATTCCTTGACAAAGACCCCAACCAGTCATCTCAGGATACCAGCTGCCACCACACCTCACTTTGGGAAACCACCTTCCCCAGAGCCAGAGGTGTGGTTGTTAATAGGCAGTGTCCTGCACATTATATGAGGGCTTTAGAGAGCTAAAGAGTTCTTCCCTCACAGACTGACTGGGAATCTATTCTCCGGGGATTGAACTTGTGTGATGAACTTAGTAATTTTGAGACAGCGGGGTTTGCCATTTTCCCCTTCTAAGAGGAAGTGCCTTCATGCATTTGAAACTTCACGACATGCTATGAAGGTATTTTTGGAGGGTAGGGGACATTTTGGGAAGTCGTGCAGATTACCTAAGTCAAATTATACTTGCATTTATGGTGTGTGGGAAATCTGTAGGCACAAAATGAGACCGGCAGTGGAGGGCAGACAGCTGACCTACCTCGTTGTGAAAACTCAGCACTGAGGAGCTCTCCTCGGGCCTCATTGCTTTTCTCTTGTGTGGGGTGTAGGAGCTGGTCAGACTTACCATCGAGAAGCAGGGACATCCATCTCCAACGAGCCCAGTGAAACCCAGTTCCCCAGCCTGCAAACCTGACGGGTGAGTGCTGACTAAACCCTCCAGTGACCGTGGTCACGTGGTCCACACTTGAGAGAGAATGGGAGCCACGCTGGGCGGCCCCGTCAGGTGGGCTGTTTGAGGCCCACATTCCTTTCTCGGTGAGTCCCAGTGTCACTCTGAAGTGTGTATAGCTCACACGTTTTGAAGTATTGCCTGGTCTCGAGGTTAGTAGCTAACATGCCTCTTTCTAAGGATAGCGTGTGAGTGTGCACAGTGACCCGCACCTGCACGTCTCCTGACCAACTTCCTTTCATAGGTGTAGAAAATATTTTTTTTGAAGGGTTGGGTTTTAGGGATTTGGCTTGAGAGCATTTTGCTTTATCAAGAAAGTAAACTGAGGTCAACGTGGACAGTTTGAAGGCCTTGCAACAATTTCTGTTACAAGCCCCTAGTGAAAATATAAAACAGAAATTTAGAGCATTTTAGAGAGCCTTTGGATTGGCTAGTCTAAGGATTCCTTTTACAGATAAGGAAACTGAGATGCAAAGTCGGGGGGCATGGCCAAGCTCCTGCTGTCTGTTGGTGATCAAACTAGACTTGTCCAGGGCTCCTGCTCCTCAACCCCACCGCCATCATCTCCCTGCCCTGGTCACAGTCTCACCCTCTCTCAGGACCTGCTTGTGCTCTGTAACCTTCTGTAACCCCAAGTTCTTTTCAATTCTTCAGCCAGTCTGAGCTTCCCCTGACAGATCGAGAGATGGAGATTCTAAACAAGACAACCAGCATGTCGCAGTCGACTGAGCTACTCCCAGATTCTACAGATGAAGAGGTCGCCCCCCCCAAACCCCCATTACCTGGCATTCGAGTGGTTGATAATAGGTAATTTCCTGTTTTTCTAGCACCCTCCTCTATGACATAATTTGATGAATGGATGGGTGGAATGAGCCAAAAAGAAGACAGTGCCATTAGGGTGAGAACTTGGAGCCCAGTCTCTTGCTCTTTAGAAGACTTGGAAGTTGGACCTCCCTCGGGAGGGGCGTCTCTGGTGGACGTGAGCCCAGCCCCCACACCCTCCCTTCCACACACTCCGAGAACTCCCAGTGGCTTTCCTTTTAGCCTCAGCCAAGTGAAAGATGGTACAATATATTATGGAAGGAAAGGAAAGGATTTTTATGATTCTAGTTTTTTTGGCATTGGTAGGTTTTATTTTGGCAGAGGGGGAGTGGGATGGGAGTTGAAAGTGTGAAGTGTCTAATAATGAAAGAACCCCACATTCTGTACCCTAATATCTGTTTGAAGGGTTTTTGTGTGGGTTGTTGGTTTGATAGGATTTCTTGGTCTGTTTCAGCCCTCCACCAGCGTTGCCACCGAAGAAAAGACAGTCGGCTCCATCCCCTACCCGCGTGGCTGTTGTGGCTCCCATGAGTCGAGCCACCAGTGGCTCCAGTTTGCCCATTGGAATTAATAGGCAGGTAATGCAGCCCCATCTGGAAAGGCAGAGGAAGACTCTGGGTTTGGGAATTTGACTCCTGAAGCTAAAAGAAACCCCGTGGTCTTCAGTGCCTGGTGTTAGTCACGTCGAGAGGATTTCTCTTAGAGGGGTTGAGGTTTCCTTCGTTGACCTTCTCTCTACAAGACGTGGTAGAAGTTCCCGTCTGGGGGTGGGGGCAGGGGTGGGGAGGCTGGAGCCAAAGGGCTGTCTCCTGATTACCTCTGAGCCCAGCCCCAGGGCTCTCTCTTGCCACACACTCTGAGCATTCCTCAGGGATTCTTTCTGGGAAGTCACAATGTGGTGTTTTATTGCTTACGTCAAAGATGGGCCTTTCCACCGGGCTTCTGAGCCTGGCGGTGTTTCCTTCTCTAAGAGCACGCACCCATTCCCCCTCCCTGGTCTCTGCCACCGTTTCTCGGAAGTGACTGGGATTTGTTTCTGTTTTTCGCACGAGGACTTTGACGTGGACTGTTGCGCACAGAGGCGGCTGTCAGGAGGCAGCCACTCGTACGGCGGAGAGTCGCCCCGCCTGTCGCCCTGCAGCAGCATGGGCAAACTCAGCCAGTCGGACGAGCAGCTGTCCTCTCCGGACAGGGACAGTGGGCAGTGCTCCCGGAACACAAGCTGTGAAACGCTAGGTGGGCCACGCGTCTCCGTCAGCACTCTGTCTCATCCTTTCTCAGTGGCTTTTGGGGTCATACGGTGGTGCCAGCCATTGGCTATATGCCCTTGGCCAAGTCCTTCAAAATCTGAGCCTCAGTTTCCTCATCTGCAAAATGAGGACACCAATATCTGTCTCTCAAGGAGGTTGAAAGTTTAAATGAAATAAGAATGTGAAACCACACAGAAGGCATTCAAGGGTAGCTGTTCTTGTGGTTAATCTGTCGGTGTGTGATTTGACTCCCTTCGCCAAAATTAAGAGCCATCTGTGCTCAGAGCTAATAAACGAAGGGGGAGAGCCCCTGACAACTTTGACAGAGGGTGAAGGCAAGTGAGCCACACGCATTGCCCTCCTCCTCGGTGCTGACCGCGTGCGGTGTGGGCCGGAGGGAAGGCAGTTTGGCAGGAGGCTTACAGAGCAGTTAGCTGTTCGTGTCCCATGAACTAGCTACTTCACTTCTGAGAGTTTTATCTTAAGAACATAATAAGAGATTTATAGCAAGATTTCTGTCCAAGGATGTTAATCTCAGCATTGTTAGGAGTAATGATAAACTGGGAACAATCTAACTACTCAGTGGTGGGAAATCAGACAAATTATGACACATCCATTTGGTGGAATAATATGTAGCCATAAAAAATCAATTATGATATATTGATCAGTGGACAAAATTCAAGACCACTTACATAGTTTTTTCTCAGGTTAAAAAAGAATCCTAGGGAAAAAAAGACTCAACTCTTGACATTAAATTGTAGACAGAGATTATAGTTAGATTACGAGATTGTGGATGATTTTTGTTTGCTTGTAATGGTTTTTTTGGCCACATAGTCTACAGTGCTCATGCATTTTTCTTTTTTTTAGGTGAGAAATTCAAAACATACAGGAAAGTACAGAGACTAGGATAGCAAACAGCCGTATTCCCATCTGTTTCTACTTTTATAAACAGAGGGATGAATGAAGAATATAAAATAAAGCGAGAGCCTGTATAGATGAGATGGGAGACACATTTCTGTCACACTGTAATGAACGGGATTGGGTGAAGGAAGAAGGATGGGATCGTGTCTTTCTGTGGGGTCTTGTGGCTGATGGGTATGTTTTTCCTGTTGTGAATGCAGATCATTATGATCCTGACTACGAATTCCTTCAGCAAGACCTCTCTAACGCAGACCAGATACCTCAGCAAGTGGCCTGTAACCTTAGCCCATTGCCGGAGTCCTCGGGGGAGTCTGGGTCTCCGTTTCTCGGCCATCCTTTCCAGTTGCCTCTGGGCAGCTGTCCCCAGCCAGAGGGACCCTCGACCCCAGGGCAGCAGACGGACACGCCGCCTGCTCTCCCCGAGAAGAAGCGCAGGAGTGCAGCCTCCCAGACCGCGGACAGCTCTGGCTGCAGGGTGTCCTACGAGCGACACCCCTCGCAATACGACAACATCTCTGAGGACGACTTGCAGAACCCAGCCTCGGTCCAGTCTGTCCCCTTCACGCCCTTTGCTGCTATTCTCCCCTTCCAGCAAGGAGGCTCCTCAGCCTCGGTCGAATTTGTGGGTGATTTCACTGTTCCTGAATCAACGGGTGACCCAGAAAAACCGCCTCCTCTACCAGAGAAGAAAAACAAACACAGTAAGCTTTTGTTGAGCTGTTGTCAAGAAGCACGTTTTGTAACCTAAAATGGTGGTATGTTTTATTTAAGCATTAGACCCGAATCAAACTAGTGGCCTCTTAATTTCATAAAAGATAGGACCACAGGTATGTGGACACTTCTCGGAGCCTTGTTCTGTCAATACTGGTGGTGGTTTTTAAAGCCTGATAGGCTGACCTCTCCTTATGGTCTCTATGAAATCTCGGGCCTGGTCCCCACAGAACCTGAGTGTTTGGCCTCTTGAAGATGGCAGTCAGTTGACCCTCTGGCCTGGACACAGGGTGACAAAGAGAAACGAGTGTCACAGCATTCAGGACAGCATTACAGCAACATCTGGGTAAAGTAGGGTGGACATTTGAATTTGCATAGAACTTACCGCACCCACGGAGAGATTTTCTGAGGATCCCTGAAAGTATGCAGGTGGCTGTTTAGAGAGCACCCTGGTAGCAGGGATCTGTCTGTCTTCTCTGCAGACACTGAAATGTCACATAATGACTTGGAGTCTGAGATTGCCTGGTGGGAGTTGCCGAGGACACTTCTTGGACCAGATATTTTAATACATGGTGTTATTAGGGCCCAGAGGTAGAGCTGAAATTTTGGATTTTTGTATTTGGAATATTTTCCAACTGCAAATTTGCCGTCAAATTCCTAAGGAGAGTTCTACTGGAAATTGTTTCTTCTGCTAGACCCCTAAGGGCCCCACATTGCCTGTCTCTCTCTGCCCGCCCTCTCCCCACTTGACACGCACAGTTTGGCTCCGTTTGTTTTTGGCAGACCAGCTGTCACCAGTTGGATTTGTGTGTGGCCACATCAGCCCCACAGTCCCAGCATTCCCTGGCCTCAGTTGAAGCATCCAGCAGACAACTTCCACGAACCAGAAATTGAATCTCCATTCCAAATTCCCAAATGAGACCATCTGATTGGCCCTGCCTAGAGTGGGCCCTGCTCTCAAAGAAGGGGAGACCTGGCCTGGTTAACACAGCAGGGGTGGCCCGAAGGGCCAGCTGGGCAGCCGTGGAAGGAGGTGGCCACCAAGGCTGCAATGCGTTCCCCAGCTGCTCACTGGGTGTCGCCTGGCTTGTGTAATGGCCTCGGTGGTGTGGTCCCCAGCTGGAGGGAGAGCTGGCTCTGTAGGGCTCATGATGTCATTCCCGTCTGTTGTGTGAGTTCGCTCCTTAGAAACCAGGGCACTAGTTGAGGGAGCTGCAGACAGCAATGCCAGGAATGTTTTCTTCTGCATCTCTCCCGCGGCTCGGGCAGCCCTCTCCCCTCCACTCACCTCACCTTGACTTCAACAGTGTGCTGTTCTGGGCTCACAGCCTTTCCTTTCCATTCCTAGGAATCCTCTGAACCCAGAACACAGGGCAGAATTGCATCCGTGCAAACTGCAGCAGATGCATGGTGCTGCCTGGCCATGGAGCCAGGGGGTCAGCCTTCCAGCTTTTAGAAGAGGTGTGGGCGGCAGTCTTCATGCAGGGGCTGTAGAGAAGAAAAGCAAAGGGAGAGGTGTCCCTTGTTTCCTTTTGAACATCCTCAAGTCTCCAGTGGCTGAAAATATTTTCTATTGATTCAGGCATCTATTTTTAGGCTTTATCTCATCCCTCCATGTCTTTAGCACTTGTGCCTGCAAACCTTTAAAAACTGCTAAGAGGGGCCAGCCTGGTGGCGTAGTGGTTAAGTCCGCACGCTCCACTTCCGCAGCCTGGGGTTCACGGATTCGTATTCCGGGCATGGACCTACACGCCACTCATCAGGCCATGCTGTGGCGGCGTCCCACATGCAAAATAGAGGAAGATTGGCACAGATGTTAGCTCAAGGCCAATCTTCCTCACACACAAAAAAACTGCTAAGAGTTTAAGGTGTGGCATGCCCTGGGCTAAAGCTTCACGTTCTCTGTCGTATTTAGTCTTTGCAACCTGGCCAGGCAGGCGTTATTAGTTCCCATTTCATAGATGAAGAAACTGGAGCTCAAAGGAACTAAGCCTTTGCCCAAGATCGACAAGCAAGCAGGTGGCAGATCGGGGCTTCAGACCCCGGCCTGTGCTTTCCCAGCACCTTACACTGCCTCCCAAGCTGAGGAGGAAGGGATCCGGCCCTCCTTCATTGGGATTCTATCTGGTTCTCAGTAGTGATGCCTACGCAGGCGGCGGTGTTTTCTGTGCCCTGTGAAAGGGCCCCAAACTCGAGGCTCCCCGAGGCTTGGCCCCAGTCTTGAGTCCACTCTTCACTCCCTGAGGGAACCCTCGGAGAGTTCCAGTCTGTGACCCCATAGAAACTTCTTGCAAAGTTGCTTTGAGGGAAAGGGAGGAGATCATCGTCATCCATTATTTGGCTAACGCTGGACAAAGCTCATACATGCACAGTCCCGATGTCATAGAGTGTCTTCGTCCTTTGGGTTGCTTTGACGTCCTGAGGATCCCCAGCCCCTCTTGCTGGGGGCAGCCCCACAAGCCGCTTGTGCCAGACAAGCTTCCTAATCGCTGGCTGTCCACAGTCCCGGCTGCCCGCTGGAGTGCCAGCCTGCAGAGCATTCCCAGGGATGCCGGCCGGTCTTGTCTCTGAGTCCTTGTGCTGGGCTGCCCTTGAAATGGACTGGGCCTTCTTATTTCTAGAAGGTTGGGAACATCACTGCTGTTTCTCTGCTTGGTTAGCAGGTCTCTACAAGGTCTTCAATATCGGAAGTTCAAGTCTTGTTGAAGCTTCCCATTCGGGTCAGGCAAAGGTCATTGTGTTGTGTCTTTTTAGGGAGCTGTTGGTAGGCATCTGGGATCACCTTCATGGGCTCGCGTCTTCCTCTCGAACCTAGTGCTGCTGCTCGTGCAGCGTGAAAGAACAAACGTTGTGGGCTTGAGGGGAACCATGAGTGCACTTTTCTTCTAGCAGCAGTGCCAGCCCATCTTAGGCGGAAACCATCTTTTCCTGCCTGCCTTTTACGGCCAACTTCTGCTCAGTGCTTGTTGGCGCTGAGACATTCTTGTTATTCTTTTAAATAAAGAGAGTGGCTTTGAATCCCCTCCTTCAGTGAAGGGTGCCAGAAGGACATACCAGGAGGAAGGCATTTCCTATCTACCTGGACCCCAGAAGAGGTGCAGAGAAGAACAAGATCACCTCCCCACCTTTGTGACTGCCTCCTCAGCAAAGTGTCTCTGTCTTTCTTTAATTGTCTGGCTGGTTTAGGCCTCCAGTTAAGCCTCTGACTTTGTGGTTATATGAAAATATAAAATTAAGCCCTGCAAAATTGTCCTTGCCACTGTTTCTTGGTGTCTGAGTCTTGGCTCCACCCAGCAGGTGCTCGTGGCATTTGCGGCATGACCCAAGGGGAAGCACCCACTCAAGGCGGCCACTTAGATCGTGGCCACCGCTGGGCCTGCCACACACGGCCTTAAGTTCCTTTGCTTCCAAACCCAGGGCCCTTGTTCTTTCCTGCTCTCGTCACTTGGGCTCCCTCTTCGTGTGTGTGCAGCAGCTCTGTCAGTAAATTAACTAGTGCTGGTTCCCACTGCAGGTGTCAGGGCGGCGTGACGGTGCCATGTGGATAGGGCTATCCTAACCCCTGCAGCTTCCTCCACCCCTAGCAAAGGGGAAAGGCCGCACAGGATTTCAGGCCTGCCTGGACCCCGACTTTGCCGCAGGGAGCGTCAAGTGCAGGATCCAGTCCACATGAGTAGATGGGTATTAGAGAAAGGGCTTCTGCTCCAACCCAGCCCTCACAGCTTCATAAGGACGCCAGGTGACTGGGCACAGTCAGCTCCCAACTGTCGCTTCTCCCAGAATGCTCTGGAGTCTTCAGAGGGGCCTGACTCTGTAGATGGGGCTCGGATCACTACCCTCCAGAAGTCAGGAAGAAAGTGTACACCGACGCCCCCACATGAGGGCTAAGGGCTCCGCACCTGCCTCGGGAGCCAGTGCCTGCAAGGATGAGGTCACTGAGACATGACAGCTGAGCTCTTTGTTCTCTGACATCTCACATCCCTGGCCGGGTGAGGTCCCTGCTCTTGTCTGCTGCTGGGGTCTCTTTGTCAGCGATGCCGCACTGCACGGACTGGATGGGCCATGTAGGTGCAGGAGCTCTACGGGAGGCAGCAGCTTAGCATCAGATGGCAGCGGTGGCAAAGGCTGGGGTTTCTGGAAGGATGTTTAGGGCGGAGAGGATGCAGACATTTGAATTTGAGTGCTTCTCTCCCCCTTTGTCCCTCTCAGGATGTTCTGTAGCCTTGCAGCTGGAAGGGGAGAGCAAGTTTAGTGGCTGTTATTTCTTGCATACCCAGTAGGTGCTTTATTTACGAGACATATCCTGGGGGCTGTAGCCTGGTTTAGCCAGTCAGTAGGTGGGGACAGATGCTGAGGGACATGTGTTTCATTTATTCATTCATTCACAAATATAGATATTTGTGAACACCTCCTGTGTGTCAGGCACTAAGGATGCAGCAGCGGACAGGACAGACATGGCCCCTGTCCTCCTGGAGCTTCACCTCCTGAGTGAGAGGCAGTAAATCCTGTTGCATCTGCTTTGAAAATATGTCCTGAACCAACCACTCTCCCCACGCCCACCCCCATCGTGCTCTTTGACCTGAACAACCACAGCGGTCCCAGAATCCTCCTCAAGACAGAGCAGCCCCAGGCACACCCAGAGGGGAGCCTTCCGTGGGTTCCCGCCAGTTCAGCACCAAGCCTGCTTCCTCACCCCATGCACACAGCCCCCGTGACCTCCTGGGCATCACCTCGCCTCCTTTCAGTCCCCCTTGCCAGCTGTGCTCTGCCCACCCGGACCCCCATCCTGGCCCTGGGCCTTGGCCTGGCCCGTGGCCTCAATGTGGAAGACTCTCCCTCGATCCTCACACAGCTTATCCATGTTCTAGAGAAGCAACACCATCACCACCCTGCTTCGCTCTTCTCCACGGCATGCGGTTCTCCCCAACGTTCACCCCGCCTCGGGCTGCTGGCTGTCTCCCTGGGGAGGGTGTGAGCTCCATGTGGCAGCAGGTTCGTTTTGCTGGCCCCCGAGTCGGTGCCTTATACAAAGTAGGTGCTCAGTAAAGATCAGACGAATGAAGAAAGCCCACAGGTAGCTCATGACACACTGTGGGAAAAGCTGAAAAGGAAAGGAATGGGGGGTCAGGGTGGGGCTGCCAGGCACGGCCTGCTTGGGAGGAGCCTCAGGGACAGTCGCAGCTGAGCTGAGCTGTGAAGGAGGGAGTTGGGCTCAGCAGGGTTGGGGGCGGAGCAGCGGGAACAGCCTGTGCAGAGATCCCTGAGGGTGTTCCAGGAACTGGAAGGAGACAGCGGAGCGGGAGCTGAGTGAGAGGAACAGGAAGTGGTGCCAAACCCCGTGAGCCCCACACAGAGCCCAGTGTCCCTCGAGTGTGCCTGGAAACCCCCGAGGGCTTTTCAGCAAGGGAGTAAAGTGCCCCAATATGCATTTTTTAGAATAGATGTTATTTCTTAGAGCGGTTTCAGCTTCATAGCAGCACTGAGTGGAAAGTACAGGGAGTTCCCGTGTATCCTGCCCCCCATACACACGGCCTCCTCCGCCGTCACCATCCCCGCCAGAGGTGCTTCGTCTGTTACGCTCACTGGACCTACACTGACATGTTCTTGTCACCCAAAGTCCGTAGTTTACATAGGCTTCTCTCTGGGGGTCGTACAGTCGATGGGTTTTACACGTGTCCACCATTGGGTGTCGTACAGAATGGTTTCCTTGCGCTGGTGTGCTTTCCGTGGAACTCAGCCTGGCTGCCAGGAGGAAAATGGGGAGGGGGATTCTCTTACAGCAGCCCCCGCCCTGCCCCGCTCCAGCTTTCTCCCCAGCAGCAGAAGGCAGGGGCTGCCACCCACCCTCTCTGTTCCGCAGTGCTGGCGTACATGCAGCTGCTCGAGGACTACTCGGAGCCGCAGCCCTCCATGTTCTACCAGACGCCGCAGAACGAGCACATCTACCAGCAGAAGAACAAGCTCCTCATGGAGGTGTACGGCTTCAACGACTCCTTCAGCAGCGGGGATCCGCAGGACCTGGCGCCACCCCCCGCCCTGCCCCCCAAGCAGCGGCAGCTGGTAAGCGCCCCCCTGCTGATCTCCCTCTGTCCTGCCACCCGGGACCAGAGCCTCCCACCCTGACAGGTCTCTAGGAACTAGATCATCCTGGGAGCAGCTTTACCCCTCTCTTCTTCTGGGCCAGGGCCCTGGGCTGGTGTTGACGCGCCATATCCCACGCGGGTGCCCTCACTGCCTCCTGACAAGCTCACGTGCAGCCTGTCTCCTGCTCCACCATCTCTTTTCCAGAGCAACCCCGTGCAGCTGGGACTGGCTTGTGCTTAGAACGTTTGCTTTCTTTGCTGACAAGTCTCTTGTATTTTCTTCTCTCTTCTTTGGCTCCAATATAGACCTCCCAGAAAGGAGGGACTCAATCAAAGCACAGGGCACAGTCTGTGTGCGGCCATCTGGGACTTGATTTACATAATGGGTCTGATTGTCCAGAGGGACTTACATCCCACCCTTGCCAGGGATGGCCCAGTGAAAACAAGCTCTATTGAAGCAGTATGGCTTTAGACAAAGCCACTTTGTGTTTCATCCATGGCTCCCTTCCTCCTTTAAAAAACACCTCCTGGGTAAGGACTCCACATAGGTAAGGAAGCCTGAGTCAGCACAGAAGGCAAGCTGTCCTGCCGTGGACAGCCTGTGAGATCCCAGGACCAGGCAGGGGCCAGGCAGTGTGCCTACTGCAGGCCTCTAACCCTCGTCCTCTCTGCCACCAGTTTACTAACCAGGTGGACTCTGGTCCGGTTTCAGAATCCAGGCACCCCTCCAGGCAGAGTACACCCCAGGAGAGGATTCTTGACTTTTTCAGAGCTGCATGTGCTGTTTTGCTCATATGCTGGCCAGTCTGGTAGTGTTTTAACTAGAGAGGAGGCCAGTGTGGCTAGCTGGGCTGTCTTGTACCCCTTGTGAGGGGACACGAAGGTGCTGCTCTGAGTTTTCTGGGAGGCAGCTGCCAGCTGGAGGACAAAGGTCCCTTGGTTACTCCTCGCAGCCGCCTGGGGCTCGGCCCTCCTGCGATTGGGCCTCGAGTGTGATGCCCGGCCCCAGGAGTCCCCGAGCCTTCCTGCATTCAGTGGCCTTCGGGGCTGACTGGGCAAAACCACAGCCAGCCTGCTGGGAGACAGTCTGGTCTAGTAGAGGAGAGGCCGAGCACGGAGCCGGGGGTCCTGGGTTCTAGTCCTGCCGCCAACCAGCCGCGTCTCACCAGTTGCACTCGGAGTCGCAGTTCTTCACCTGCCCCCTGTGCCCCACGAATACCTGAATATGCCCGAATATGAATCTAAATTGCTCTGAAAATATTTCAGGAAGTGATCTTCACCGCAGAAATATGAATGCCCACCCTGGGGACCCCTAACCTAAAATATTTGGTTAAACAGCTGAGCCAGATTGCGTTGAGATTTGAAATATTCTCAGCCCCTCCTGCCAGTGTCCACAGGTGCCCATTGGCCGTCCTTGGGCGTCTTCTCTGTACTGTGGGGTCCACAGGCTTCAGGGTATTTGGGGACAGGTCCCTAATGAGCACACTGGAATCAGATCCTGTCTGAGAGAGCTCTCTGGGCCATTGCACACGCTGGCCAGGCAATAGTCAGGGGAGCCCTGGAGCTGGGCAGACACCCTATTGAACACCTGTAGGCACTGGGGCTTTCACACGATCCTCACATTTTAAGTAAACTGAGGCTGAGAGCAGGAGAGATTTACTCAAAGCCCACCACTAGAAGTGGGAGATTTGGGGACCAAGCCCAACTCTGGCTGAAGCCCATGCACACCACGTGACATGCCCTGTGCTGGCTGCTTGGCATACCCTCTCTCAAATGCAAGTGAAGAGTTACCCCCATTTTACAGACAAAAATGGGAGCACTAATTACTCACGCCTCTTGGCCCACGTCCACTGTGGTAGGCAGGGTTCTAAGTGCTTTACGTGTATACAGCCCTACACAATGGCGTCCCCGTTTTACAGATGGAAAGCTGAGGCACACAGAGCTTTAAGTAATACCCAAGGCCAGACAGGTCACGAATGGCAGGGCCCAGGTTCAAACCAGGCAGCCTGGCTCCCGGCCTGCACTCTGCTGAAGCGTGAATAACTACATGGTCTGCTCCCCGCAGAGGAGGAACTTGAGGTCCTAAATAAACCAGGCCTGCGCAGCTCCAAGCCTGCTTGGCCTCATTCCACCTTACCACCACTTCCGACGCACGCAATTCATATGAAAGTTAGCTTTTTAAATCTCTCATGAGGAAGTGAAGGAGGGTGCCCTCTCGTCCAGGTCGCCTTCAGCAGGCTTCTTTGATCCCTGAACTGAGCCAGGCAGCCATCCCCCACAGAGTGTCCGAGCAGAATTAGGCAGCTGGGGCCGGCCTGGTGGCGCAAGCGGTTAAATGCGCGCGCTCCGCTGCGGCGGCCCGGGGTTCGCTGGTTCGGATCCCAGGCGCGCACCGACGCACTGCTTGGCAAGCCATGCTGTGGCGGCGTCCCATATAAAGTGGAGGAAGATGGGCACAGATGTTAGCCCAGGGCCGTCTTCCTCAGCAAAAAAAGAGGAAGATTGGCGGATGTTAGCACAGGGCTGATCTCCTCACCAAAAAAAAAAAAAAAGAATTAGGCAGCAGCCTGTTTAGCCTTTACATGTACCTGCCTGACTGTTCTCTGCTTTTCTCCCTCCTTCCCTGTCTTCTCTCTTGTCCCTCTGTCCAGCAGGCCTCCTATGCTGCTTCTTCCTTCTCCTCTGTCTCCTACTGTGTCCAGCAAACTAAAGTGGCCTTCACCCCCGAGGACAGCAGTGCCACTCAGGGCATCAGTGTGTCCGTCTCTAACTCCTTTCTCAGCCGGCACGGCAACTTACCTGTGCCCTCGGTGAGTCGCTCCCTGCCGCTCTTTACTTGGAAACTGGTGAACTTGATCTTTCATTTGTAGCCCACACCTCCTGACACGTGTGCTGCTGCCCATCACTGACTCTGTCCTGCAGATCCCTGCACATCCCTGCACTAGATGGGAAAGAGTATGCACACTGGTTCTCTGTGCCCTAAGGCCTGTGTGGATTGGTGGATGGGGAGGGGGCAGGGATGGGAGATGTTAGCAGCCATACTGGGAGCATGATCATTAAGGCATAAACTGGCAGAGATGTTTTGGCTTTATTCTGGTCTCCCTCTGGGCCTTGGGTCAGCCCCATAAGTGTTCTGTGTTTAAAAAGGAATATTTCCCACGTAGGAAGCAAGGCCAAGGAGAGCAGGCTTCACCAGGGTGTTGCAGAGTTTGAGTTTGAGGCTGTATCAGTTAGCTTTTGCTTTGTAACAAACCACCCCAAAACCTAGTGGCTTAAAACAACAGGAACCGTTTGTCACTGCTTAGGACACAGGTTAGTTAGGGTGGTGGTGCTGATCTGGGCCAGGCATTCCTGATTTTGGCTACACTTGCTGACATCTCAGGAACCTCAGTTGGGACAGTGGGCTGATTTGGCTGTGATCCGTATGATCTGTCAGCTCCATCAGGCTAGCCTGGGCTCGTTCACAGGGCAGCTGGCAGGGTTCCACGGAAGCAAAGGGAGGCAAGCAAGATATCTTAAGGCCTAGGCTCAGCATTGGCACACTGTCACTGCCGTTGCGTTCTCCTGGTTAAATCAGAGGCCAGCCCAGGTCCCGGGAACAGGGAGGTAGACTCCGCCTCTTGATGGGGGTTGCTGCCAAATCACACTGCAAAAGGGCATGGGTACAGAGGAGTGGATGCAGCCATTCGTGTGACCCGTTTACTTCTGAAACTGAGGGGACACGAACCCTTCAGGAGGCACAGTGCTGGGCCGCTGTCTTTCGCTGGAGTCTCCTTCTGTCCAAGAACCTGAACAGTCGCCGCTCTCCCTGTGCCCTGTGGAAGTGAAGCCGGGCCACAGGGGACGAGCTCCGGGCCCAAGCCGCGTTTGGTTCCACTCAGATGGGTTTGTCCTTTGGTAATTCACCTCTCCTCCCCGGGCCTCACCTTCTTCCCTTTGGGGTTACACTGCTACTTGCCTCTTATTTTCTGAAGTGAGGATTAGGTAAAATCATAGGAAACTGCCAGGCACATAGTAAGCTTAGAAAGTTTGTTATTGTCGCCCTTGCTCTTCAGTTTCTGGATTCTGGTTTGGTTCTGTTCTGATTCTTCACGTGAGAACTTGGGCAAGTGGCTTCACCTACGTGGACTTCTCTTTCCCCTCTGTACACGATGAGGTTGACCTGGTGACTTCAGAGACTTGTCCAAGCTCGGGTCCCCAGTGTGGTGTCTTTCAGTTTCCATATTTGGGAACAGTTCAGTGCCCAGGTTAAGACGGTCCTGCCTGTTGTGAGGACCCTGGAATGCATTCTTCCTTTGGGTGCTAGGGCCTAAGGCTTTAGAGCCCTCAGCAACCCCGCGCCTGCTACAGAAAGGCTAAACCCCCGGCTCTGCCCTAGTGCACAGACGCCCTCTGTTTCCTCAGCAGGCACCTCTGGCGGGCTCCTTTCACAAATATTGCAAAACTTGGCCTTTAGACAATCCTAGCTCTTGACTGTTTTCTCCCCCCTCTGTGAACAGAAAGTGTGAGTTATCCTAAGAGTGTCTACAATATCCCTTTTGAGCAGTTTTAGTTAGAGGACTGTCAATGAATTGGAGTGTTTGCTACAGAACTAAAGAAAATTTGAGGGCATTTAATTAAGTTTGGGTATGAGTACGTCATAGTTTTCACCCCTGGGGCATGGGGGAGTCTAAAGGCATCTTGCACTGGAAATCCTGCGTCCTCAGCACCGATTCCACAGAGGAGCCCATGGGGAGGGAGCTAATAAAGGTGCTTTATTTCATTAAAAGGAAAGTCGCCCAGGCCTCAGGAGCTGTTAGTAATGGCCTAAATGTTTGAAACGCTTGGCATTTGATATGCTGAAACCCCAGAGAAGTGATTTAGTGTGATTCCAACATATTCTTCCTATATTCTGTGGTTACATCCTAAGATGAGACCCAGACCGAGGGCGGTGGACTGCTCTCAGAGCAGCCCTTTGTACCTGAACTTCTTCATTCCATCGTTCCTGGGCCTGTGGCATCAGTCCAGCATGGCATTCCGAAAGGGTGCCACTTAGGAATACAGCAGTTGTCAAATCTGAAGACTCCTCACACGGTTTTCGGCCCATGACCTGTTACTTCTACCGGGAGATTCTAACCATTGAAAACCTCTTGCCAAGGGAATTTGTAGAGCAGTGAACCTGCACTGACCAATTTAAATTGAAGTGGGTGCTAAAAAAAAATCCTTATTCACTCTTCCCAGGGTCCTGGGATGAGTTTAATTCAACAAGCGCAGGGCCTCTCCTGTGTGGGTCAGGCAGCAAGCAGGATCCAGGGCGAGTGAGACCGCCCCATCGTCCTTGAGAGGTGCCTGCAGTTCCGCAGGCAGGAGATGAGCATAAAAGAGACTCACGCTAAGGGGGGTGTGAGGAGCAGCACGAGAGTGACAGCCACTAGAAGCCCCATGGGTGGTGGAGCCCGGAGGGGTCAGCCAGAGCTTCGTGAGGGAGGTGGCGCTTGAGCTGTGGAAGGACAGTTAGGGTTTCGGGGAGATAAAGGTCCAGGAAAGCGAGTCAAATGTGTTCCACACCGAGGAACCTGCCTGAGGATGGGGGCTAGAAAGCCTGGCATGCGTTCTGGAAGGTTGCCTCAAATGTAAGCTCTCAAGGATTGATGTCATGGGAGAGCCGGCTGCAGGGTGGTGACAGTAGCCAGCCCTTCCACGTGTCCTCAGGATCAGCTAGCCGCCCCTACACCAGCACTGAAACCAGCTGCCTTCTGAGCTGCTCCCTCCTGAGCACAGCCCTCCAGCACTCAGGCCGGACTTGCACTGTCCCCCGCTGCCCACCGCTTGTCCCTAGGCGTGTTCCTACTCATGTTCCTGGGTGGGGCCCACTCTCCTCTTTGCCGTCTTTGGCTGGGTCTGCTTGGCTCTCTCATTCCATGGAGGTGTTAGCCTGGTCCACAGACTTCCTTTCCATCCCAGCACGTGCCATAATCCTTCAGCTACACAGACAAGCGTCCAGACCTGAGCGTGGTGTCTGGGGCATTAAGACTGGTTTCACAGAAGAGGGTGTTTGGGGAAATGATGAGTGACTGCAGCAGAAAGATGTGCAGAGCTAAGTGCAGCCTGCCCCGGGCCCAGGAGGCCTACTTAATGCTTCCTGTTCTGATTCCACTGGGCCTCGCAGTGTGCCTGCCCTTGGGGGCACTGGTTAAGTGACTGAGTGACAGGCCCTCCTGGAAACAGCTTTCTAACATGGTGCCCGGGTCCCTCTTCCTGTCCCCAGACTCTCCCTTGGTTGCTTGTACTCGGGCTGCCTGCCGTGTTCTTGCAGAGGCCCCGCCTGTGTTGGCCCGCCTTCCTCCTCCACTCCAGCTCTGGTCCTCCCGGCGTCGGCTGTTCCCTCTCCACACTGAGTTCCCCTGTGCTGTCTCCTTTCTGGCCTGCATTTGCTCTGCTTCTGAACCTTGCTAGTGCGAATCTAGAAAGTTTTGGATTGGTCCCTGTTCACTTTGCCCTTGACCAAGGTATTGTTGGACATCAGTCAGTGACCGCTGGGGTTGCCAGTGGCCTTCGGGTATTGCGGGGCTAGTGTTAGAAAAATCACCTTCCTCCGCCCCCCAAACGATTTTCTCGTACATCCTTTCTTGCTAAATGCAAGTTAGAGATATTTACTGTCACCAAGAGATCTATTCGGATGCTAGAAATTTGTTGAAATATACCTTTACTATCTTGGCTTCCAGAATGATTCTGGATAAGTAAAGTGCTAGAAGACCCAGGTTTTGAGAAGAACTTGAGAAATAGCCATAATAACTGTCATTTGTTTTTTTAAAAACTCTTCAGGGTAAGAAAGTCAGGTGTGTATGCCCTTGAGGACCTCAGTGTAGAGGGGGATCTGTAGAGCAGCTGGTCTCCCGTTCCGGGCAGAGAGTGGCTCTCTGAGATGTTGGACCCGGCTTTCATACCTCAGCACACACGCTCTCCACAGAAGGCCTGCGCTGCGTTGACCCTGGGCGTCTCTGCCACGTGCTCCCCTCAGGCCCGCTCCCGGAGACACGTGGCGGCTCCTGAGGGCCACTGGCGCATCTGTCACTCGCTCGCTTTGTCTGCCCCCTCCTCAACCTCCAGGTCACCAGCCAGCCCTGAGCAGTAACCCAGCAGCCATCACGGAGACCCTAGCGCTCTGACTGGTCTAAAGGCCAGACAGGACAGAGAGAGAGGAAGGAGATGGAGAGAAAAGGAGAGACCATGGCGTTCGGTGAGAGAGTGGACCAGAGGCCCGCAGGGCGCTCGGGCTGCTCGGCCCGGCATGCTCTGTGTCCTCCGGGTGGGAAAGATAAGCTCCCACCGTCCTGGCCTCTGCCCCTTGTTTCCTCCAGATGCCCTCTTATCTTTATGGCTCCCTGCTGTGGTTAGAGCTACCCGTTCTGAGAGGTGGACGGGGCGGCCGTGGGCAGCACTGGTGGCCCAGGGAGGGAGAGGTATTTCTTTGAGCTGCATCTCTCCTGGTGGGGCTTTGTTCCAGGGGCCTGCCTGACTTTCTGGGGTTTCCTTCAGAGCGGCCCCTGGCACTGTCGGCATCGGGAAGACCAGGGCCGTGCTGCCGTCGTGTGGGAGAGCCTCTGAGGGCCCTCTGACGCCGGCTGCATGTTCCTCCTTGACCTGCTGTGGCCCAGGTGTCATGTGGGTGTTTCAGATTACTTGAAGTCCTGGACTCTCAGACTCATCCCCATTCTGGGGAGCCTCACTGCAGAGTAGACTACAAGTGCAAGTGCAGGTGGCTCAGACTCTGGGCTCTCTGGGATTAGGAATTAGATCCCCACGTGCCTAACATGTGACAGACACCCAG